TTTTCATCCCAACAGAAGTTAATTTATTTGTGTAAAGCTTTGATAACTATTAGCAGAATATTCTGTTAACATATTGTATAACAAAAATGCGTCCAAACCCACCAATAAATATAAATAAGTTCATACATGCATTCATTTCATAGTGTATGTCCCTTCTCATCACACAAATAGCACTGTACTGTTGTGTACACCAGTGTTGTCTAAAAATTTGATGTATGAATTGATGCACTGCCAGAGTGTAGTACTAGTGATGGAGGCAATACATGTCAGTGTGCAATATATATATACATATAAGATATATACAGTCACATACAGCCATTGAGACAATGGACATATCATATGCATGTATACACTGGTAGTAATCATAAAACATCACAAACTCTTTTGTCTCTGTTTTTGCAAAAGCTTTGATGAGACGAATAATAATAATTATTTAACCGAAAATATAATCATTTGCCATATTATTTACAACACTATCTATTGTTTTATAGCTCTATCGAGTTATTCACTAAATTATTTTTCTTTTCTCTCCCATTCCCTCTCATTTTGTTCATTATTTATACATATGTATGTATATACTGTATATTATATATATGTATCTATATATGTATATTATTAGCCTTTTATCATATCCTGAAAAAAGAGATTTTCATTATTTTTAAGGTATTCTTTTGCAATATTTATATTCATTGAGTGAATAACTTTTGTGTGAATTTATATATATTATTCAAAAATCTCTCTCACATATCATCCCACTCTTCCTCTTTTTTTCTCACAAATGAAGTCCACACATAACTTATACATATATAACATAAATTTATATATACATATATATATTTATATTATTTTTATGATTATTATTATTATTACAAGCAATAAAATTAGTTTTAAATCTCTAGCACAACAGCATATAAATAATATCACAAAAAGTAACATTTAATACTTTTGTCAAGAGTTATGACTAAAAGAGAAATGAGTGCTAAAAACTAAAGATTTTCATTTAAAAAAACAGATTTACTTTCTTTCTCTCTCTTTTTTTTGTTTTTTTCTAACGCTATTTAAAGTTATGCTTAAATTTTTAAATTAAATTTTCTCATTTGTACTCAACATTATATATTATATCATATACATGTAGATATCAATATATACTGAATATATATGTATAATATGGTTTCATAACATAATGTATACTAATGTTAGTAATATTGTGCAAAAAATAATGTCAGAATATGTCTGAAAATAAGTAAAAAAGAAAGAAAAAGAATAAGAATAAGACAAGTGATGGCAATATAAATATGGACTACAAATAGATGTTATGAGTAATAAAAATGTATTTAACAACAATTTAACACAAAATTATATCACTCAACGATAAAATGCTGTAATAGTGGCAAAAGTGTTTGACAGCAAAGATTAGTCATTTTCAGAAATATATGTATAAACCAGGTCTTTAAAAGACTAGTAGTTTTGGACTCGTCTTTTAGTGCCAATAGCACCGGTATATAACTATCCATTAGTGTAAATATCGTATTACTAGTGATGTATTTTTGTGATTCAGATTTAGAGAAAAGAGCTGCCAGTTTGTGGTGAATACACTTTTTGACAAAATGTTATCTAATGTTAGCGATGCATACATTACCAGCAAATATTTGCAACACTAATAGTACAACATATATACATAAATATTATATATATATATACGGCATAACTAATACTAATTGGTAATACTGTGTTATTTTAAAAGTATTTACTCATTAGTAGCTCAACGACTATAAGTCAAAAAGGATACTCTTTTAACTGAGAGAGAGATAGAGAGTACTGACTATTCAAATGAGAGTCACATCTATATATTATAATACTGTACCATATTATACATATGTATTATATAACTTTCAGTATATATATATATATTTTAAGTGCACTTTCGCTTTAATGATAATCTAATTGAATGGCATTCATATTGAGAATCGCAAGAATCTCATAGAGAATTCAATGGATTCAATGGATTGTTGGGTCAGTTATATGCTTTGCATTTCAATTGAATTGTTGTTCAATTGTTAACAAATTATATCATAAATATAATAAATTTTTAAAGTTGTAATTTAAATTTTGTTAAAATTTTTAATATACATTTAATGTCTCAACATTTTTGTAGTGCAAGTGGGATAACAATAATCGAAAGCACAGTTGACTATTCACTGCCATATCCTGTCTACTGATATATTTGTATATCTATTATAACAATATATAGTATGTGTTATTCATTAATAATTTCTGCATCAATTCCTGTAGGATCTGATGGCACGGCTTAGGCTCTTAAAACTTATTACATAATGAATGTATTTGTATAATAATGATAACAGCATAGACCTAATACACTACTCAGTTATATTGATGCCATTCCTCAATGTCTTATGTAATGATAATATACTCATGATTTCGATTTTTCGTTTTTAGTCTATTTCTCTTTCTCTCTCTCTTTCTCTCTCTCTTTCTCTCCCTCTTTCTTTCTTTCTTTCTCTCTAAAAATTGATCGACCGATGCGTGCAATTGAATGGTCGTCCAATGGTTGATATACTGGTGCCGACTCAACATTGCATACGTGACGGTGTCATTGCCAGGAAATCATTAACTATTATATAAAACTTTGCAAAAGGGAGAGAAACGTTATGTTGTGTACAATATTACTAATAAATGGTACTCTAGTCTCAGATGACTTATAAATATATATTTATATTGAAATATGTTTTATATATGTTTTGCCAATCTTTGTGATACCCGGTCTTTTGCGGCGAGTTATATGTCTTTTACCGGATATACTAATAGCCAAACGGTATAAAACCAATATAAGTGATATTGACTATGACTAGCATTGGTGTGCGGGTAATGGCTATGAATCGACCGTTTTATCATATTTTATACTCGACTCAGACTTTTAATATCGTGTCTCTGCATATGTATTGCAATGCCATTCATGGATGGGCTCTAAAGGCTCTCATAATAGTGAAGAGAATAACTGTTTAACTGACTGTTTGTAAGACTAACTCTCATTCAATTCAGTCACTACTCAGTCACTCACTATTTCACCCGTCTTTCTCTCTCTCGTTCTCTCTTTTTCTCACTTTAGTCTCTCAATCAGTGCTATTATTTAGTCTATTGAGTACCGGTGCCATTGGTGATGGTGTACTAGTGGCCTCTTAACGTTCCACAACATTGGCTGTATTTGAGCCGACAGATCGGGTGCTATGCTCTCTATACTCTCTCTCTCTCTCTCTCTCTCTCTCTCTCTCTCTCTCTCTCTCCCATTCTTGTTAGAAATGCCGGCCATCAGTACCAACTCAGGCAGTCTATGAAAGGACCTGCTGTTCTCTCTCTCTCTCTCTCTCTCTCTCTCTCTCTCTCTCTCTCTCTCTCTCTCTCTCTCTCTCATTGTTGTTGTGATGAGTTATGTCATATTCAGTCAAACATTTTTGAGCCAATTTTTTCAGCAGAAAAAGTGTTTCACTAGTGTTTCATAACTCAAAACACTGGGCACACCAGCTCTGGTATGGTGTTTGAGAAGTACCGGCACTTTGCCCACTACTATGCACTGCCATATGTTCGCATTGAAGTAACTGTTGGTTACATAATAGCATTTGAAGTTTAGACATATATCTCGCCATTAATGTTATGGCTTTTGATGACTGTACCAATGCAAAGGTCGCCACTAGAAAAAAAAGTTGCCCCAACTTTCCCACATCAATAGTCACACAAACATTGAATGACATACAAGCTCTCAATCGTGACTTTTACTGATCAAAATTGGCATAAAAATTGCCATTTAATGGTTTAAATCGTTTTCAATCATTACAAGACCGGCGACCATAAGCTTGTGATTGGCGGCCAACTGTATTGTCGATTATTTGCTATTTTTATCTTCAATTATCTATTGTTCACCTATTTTGTGGCCACCATTTATTCTGCCATAATATTAGTAACTCAATAAACACCCGATAGTATAGGACATTGACTGTGATTATTAAATACACACATATATAACACAAACAACAAAAAAGTTTTTAAATTGAGAGATAAAAACAACTCATAACTCAATTTGTGTGGCAATAGTTTTTTTTTTGCAAAAACCACCTGAAAATCTAAATATTGTTTTGCCATAAAAAAATTATATACATATTTTAAATAATTAGTAACAAATCTATTAATACATTTGTAATTAATAATTATTATTTGCCATAAAACTACTACTATTACTATTTCTATAATTAATATTTAGGCCTCAATTGATAAACAAGCAAAATTAGTATTATATGATTTTTTTGGTAGTAACTGGGATTGTTGTTACAGTCAACCATACCATACTTTAAATAAATACCAGTCCTGTATGTGTTATATGGTTTGCCACAAATTATTGGGTAACTTTTATGTTGGTTAAATTACTTTGACTATGTGTATTGTACTAAGTATTATATACATTATATATAATTTTGTCTACCTATTAGTTGCTGTAATTTTGTATGTCATTTGAATTAAGGATTTAATGGTTGACAGAGTTGACTAGTTTTTTTAAAAAATACAACAATATATGTAAAACTAATAACAAACAACAACAACAAAAGTTGACAATTTATTTAACATTGTTTGCCAACAATTTGTTTTGCCCGATGCGCTTTGCACCGGTACTTATGTTATAGTCTAAAACAATTTGAAATTATGTATATAATTTTTCATAATAATAAATACATTATTTTTTTGATAAAATGATAAGATTCCTGAAGTTTTTTTTTAAATCTTTAGTAATTTTTTTATGATTTATTTATTTTCTATTATATTTTTGTTGTTTTCGTTTACTATTATTTGTTAACATTTAAATCTATTTTTAGTTATAGTAATAATATATTAAATAATAATAATAATAATTTTACCGATAAACTCATTGAATTATGAAATCAAATCTAAACAATAACTAATATGTGTTTTATTGTTGTATTTTTTCATTGCAGTCTTTTGGCAATACAAATGAAGACAATAATTTAGTTAATAATATGAAAAAGTCTGAATCCGACGACAATTCAAATCACTCGATAAGCATTGAGAGGCCGTCAAACCCTTCATTGAGCACATCCTCATCATCAGCTATGGCTGACAATCGACTGGCCATAAAGGAAAAGGAGGTAAACACTCTATCACTCTGTTTTTCTCTTCTTTTTACATCAACTTCTGGTGTTAAACATCGACTTTAAAAAATTATATAAACATTTCTATACAACATGTAAAACAAGATTTCTGTAAAGATTTATTACATTGTATTAACATTAGCTTAACATAAGATAGCATACAATTGTCAACTTTAGTAACAATATGTTGGCGTTATTTTAGGTAAACTTTTAGACCAAAATTGTAGTCAAAACTAGTATTTAATAACTTCATTGTCCGCTCCGTTGGCTACTAAGCGCTGACAATAAATGAGCTCTAAGTCATCGTACAGTTCAACGTTTTGCTTCAATGTTTGCATCATTTAAATCAAATGTCGATCCCTGTGCCTAATCTCCCTGTGTTTTGGCAACATTTGACTCTTTTTTAAAGAGTATATTACATTAACCAAAAATACTAACATTTCAATACATTTCTCTTTCAATTTCTTTAAATCTAATTGTATGGCCTTTTCCTATATATGTCTGGTGTTGTGTACAGATCTCACGGCTTGTCGATGACATTCATAGATTGCAGTCCACTATAATAACACTTAAAGAGACTACCGCTGCTCAGGTAATTGAATATCAAATGTTAATAAATACCTGATTTTTTTGTTATACAATATATATATACATAAAACTTTAATTGTAAATAACAGTTTTGAAACAAACTTTTAATATTATTTATAAATGAAAGCTATACTAAAACTTTTTAACATTTAATGGCTTTTTTCGATTTCTAAATGGGTTATAATTACTAGCAATGGGTTAATTAGATGTAAAACTTTAATTACATTATTAGTGGCCTTTCCGATAGTCTATTAAATTTTTGTAGTATAGCTTCACTATTGCCTACCGATGCATAATATTATAAAGTACTTATTTTATGGGCTAATTAGTTGATTAGCATAGTTGTCAAAGTTTAGGTCCAAAATTTAGTTTTTTAGGAAAACTTTTTTTTCTAGTTTTTTGTTGTTAAGTGTTAGTTTAAAACATAATATTTCACATTTAACTGTTAATCACAGATCACACAACTGGAGGAGATATTGACGCAGAAAAATAAAATTATCAAACATTTAGAGGAGAAACTCGATAAGCAAAGGGATTACGAAGATGTCAAGCGTGAGCTCCAAGTGCTCAAAGCAGAGTTGGGCCAAATCGGTGCAAATGCAATGCGCGAACAAAAACCATTTGAGATGTATCTCTTGGAGAAGTCTAAAGCACTTCAATCTGAGAACACGGCTATCAAAGCGGTCAACGATTTGGGACAGACATTGCCCAGACATTTGGTGCCGCCGTTTATGCCGCCCTATCAGAGTTTGGGTAACGTCGAGACCTTTGGCTCAATGCTGGGCGAAGAGATTGTCAATTCGTACGCCAAGGCGTTCAAACACCGAGAGGTGATATTAGGCCAAAGCAATGATCAAAACAGTTCAAACAACGCCACGGGATCGCCATCGCCGCCGCCCACATCCAATGATGAGGCCGACGCCAAGTCGAATGGCAGTGCTGGCACACCCACCAGTACCAGTGCAATAATGGACAGGTGTAATGATGACTCTGCCGCTAACCATACAAGTAATAGTCCGGCCAGCCTTGACATGAGTGGCCACAACGCCCGGAGCTCACCTCAAGGAGCAATCGGAGCGCAATACGATAAACTGCAGCAACAGTTGAGAGTAAATGTTGAGAAATATATGAATGAAACGCTAAATACACTGAATATCTCCCGATGTGTTCGCGAGTTGTTGTCTGTCCATAACATAGGACAGCGACTGTTCGCCAAATATGTGTTAGGCCTATCCCAGGGCACAGTTAGCGAACTGCTATCGAAGCCAAAGCCATGGGATAAGCTAACAGAAAAAGGAAGAGATTCTTATCGAAAAATGCACGCCTGGGCTGCAGATGACCGGTGCATATATTTCCTTAAGAATATGGTTCCCCGTAAAGGTATGTTTGCCGTTATATTTTAATTATACAGTAAATAAAATTTAATTATTTTTTATTAAATTACAGGTAAAGAGACGACTTCATTCAAACAGGAAGATCCGGCAGCTGAAGAACGAATCGCACAGATATTAAGCGAAGCTCAGAGAGCTATGGTTAGTCCAAACAAGAACGGCAGTCGCAGTGGAAACACACCGCTACTCAACGGGGATGGCCTACAAATCAAGAATGAAAAATACAGTGACAGCCAAATGGACGCAAACAGTGATACCAGTGATAGAGAGGACAAACCCGATGCTCGATCGGCAGCGAGTGCGGCCACATTGGCCAGTCTGTATAGAGCGGACAATGCAAATCTTGCGCGAAGAGTTCTCAGGAAGTTTGAGAACGACGACATACCGCAAGATATGGTGGCCAGGATTTATCAGGAAGAGTTGGCCAAACTTATTGGTCAACAGGTGGAAGACGGCTTCAGACATCCACAAGTGTACGATCGTTCACAGGATGAGGTGAGACAGGCTCTGGCCATTTATCATCAAGAGTTGTCACGTCTTACGCAAATGGCATCGGGAGGCGGCGCCCACTCACCAAACGTGTCAAATTCAGAGCTCTTTGCCCGATTCACAGCAGCATCGGCTGCGGCAGCGGCCGGTTTGGTTAACGGCACAAATTATCTCAGTTTACCTCAAATTTTAGACCCATCCCTACCATTAGACGCCCGATTGCGCTCCGATAAGCAGACAAACGGCAGCGATACGTTTGGTGCGTCCTCTGAGACAGACCGTCATTCGAGTGCCTTTTCACTTGTGAGGCCAAAGCCAGAGATTAGTAGCGGTCATAACAAGATTATGTCTTCGTCAACACCCCCTTCTGGTGTTGACAGAAACGGGTCTATACTTAACAACAGCAATAGCGACGACTTGAACTCAGCGGAGGACCTGAGCTCAGCCGCGTCACCTCTTCAGCGCATGCAATCCATAACTAATTCTCTTCTTTCACAATCAGCAATACCATCGGTGCCGCAGACACCTAACCGACCGGCCAAAGCAGTGCTACCGCCGATAACTCAGCAACAGTTCGATCAATATAACAATCTCAACACCGAAGACATTGTCAAAAAAGTTAAGGAACAGTTAAGTCAATACTCAATTAGTCAGCGATTGTTTGGTGAGAGTGTGTTAGGTCTGTCACAAGGATCGGTATCAGATCTGTTGGCCCGACCCAAGCCGTGGCATATGTTGACACAGAAAGGAAGAGAACCATTCATTAGGATGAAGATGTTTTTGGAGGACGAGAACGCCATCCATAAGCTGGTCGCCAGTCAATACAAAATAGCACCAGAAAAACTTATGAGAACCGGCAGTTTTGTGGCCGGACCTACTGCTGCCATGAGTCCAGTGGTGGCGCCCATCACCAACTCAATGCCCACATCAATAAACACCAGTTCATCGATAATCAAATCGACCGGATTTAAGGCTCAAGAGATGTCGCCCGTCAAGGCGTCCGACACATGTAGACAATCGATTAGTCCGGGTTTCTCAGACACGGCCGGCCACAGGTCTAGTACTTCCACTCCCGAGCATTACATCTCCAGTTCAGCCCAACAAACTGCCATTCATTCATCATTCTCATCTGCCAACAGTCTAACTTCCCGTTCCCGTCTCAACCAACCACTCAGTACTCACGGGAATTCAAACTTCCGAAATACTTCCTCTTCGCTCGCATACATACAGCCATCCGTTTATGAGATGGCGGCGCTCACCACTGATCTCGACACACAAAGTATCACCACTAAGATTAAAGAGACACTTATGGCTCATAATATCGGCCAAAAGGTATATCAAAAATTCATATATGAATGATATGATTGTTTAACAAATCTATTTGTCATTAAATCAGATTTTCGGCGAAGTAGTGCTCGGCTTATCTCAGGGTTCGGTCAGCGAATTGCTGTCAAAGCCGAAGCCATGGCATATGCTAAGTATCAAAGGTCGGGAACCGTTTATTCGGATGCAGTTATGGCTTAACGACGCGCATAACATCGATAAGTTACAGACATTGAAAAATGAGAGACGAGAGGCCAATAAAAGACGGCGCACTCATCTCGACGAACCAATTGGAACTGTTAAGGCATTGGGAGATAATATCTACAATTTCTCTAATAATTTCCATTCATCGCCCAATTCTCTGGTCTCATCTAAGACCGCAATATTGGGTCGACCATCATATGGTTCTCCTGTCGCCAAAAAGGCTCGCATTTTGTTTTCTGAAGAACAAAAAGAGGCGCTTCGAGTGGCCTTCTCTATGGATCCGTATCCAAGTACCACAACCATCGAATTCTTGGCCACTGAACTCAATCTATCTTTGCGCACAATCACCAATTGGTTTCACAATCATCGTATGCGTCTAAAGCAAATCTCGTCCAATGAAGACAATGGATCAAATCCTACACAATTGCCGTATAATATTGGCAGAGATGGCGTCAACTTTGATCCGATTCAATTTAGACTACTTCTCACACAAAGATTGTCAGACATACGAGTGCGCAACTCGAGTGGCGGCAATCCTCCGTCACCATCACTGAGATCTAAATATTCAAGTATTTACGGTACGTCACCGGTTAGTTCACATTTGTATGCAAACACCAATAGCTGTTCATCTCCCGGTTCATCCATACAAGAGGATGATATGGGAACTTTAGATCTTAGTATGACTGCTAGTCAACAAAACAAAGACTTAAACAGGCATTCAATGTCATTGAATGACGACTCCGACGCCGGCAGCGAAGGATCCGGTGATGAGTCGGTTGAACTCGACTTAAGTAAAAATTCTCGACCCGTCGGCTCGAGTCGTCGAAAACCACAACACGTGACCAGTTCAAGCTCCAGACGTAAGCCGGCTCAGCCTCAATGGATTAATCCCGGTCTTGAGTTTTCCGGTGATGAAGACGATGACTATGTCGATGACGGCATGAGTGACGATATGGTCGATGACGACGACGAAGATGGATATAATTTAGTTCAAAGAAGAGATGAAATAATCAATGGTGTCTGTGTTAGACAAAACACTGATTATGATTTGCTAAGAAATAGACGAAAAGATATGGCGATCGACAATAGGAACGCCGTTCGTCTGGAATCGTCAATCCCTTCGTTTGGACAAAAAGGTGACCAAAAGAGCAATGGAAACGATAGACAGAGTAATATTAAAAGACTCGAAAAGTCACTCGAAGACGATGAAGAGGGTTGGGATGATGAGGACATGGAGGAAGACGAAGTCAGACCTAACAAAATTACCGGCGCTATCAATGACGATAACGTTTTAGAAGAGTGTGTTCAATAGGTGGTCAACAATTTGGTTGATTACACCATTTATTTTATAAATTAAACCAAACACTAATACCGGTGACATTAAAATCCCAGATCCGATCAATAGGTCGGTTTGGGTTTGAGTTTCAATTGATTTACGACACAAACAAATTTAGTTACGAAACAACTGTTTTAGTTTAATATTTTGCTGTCAATGATCATTATTAAGATAAACGATTGGTTTTTAATATAATTATAATTTTCTATTTATATGCAGTTTTATGAACAAACAAAAAACTTTAAACAAAAAAACAAATTAATATTAATGAATGACAAGAATTATATACATATTGTATAAATAATTTTTTTAATATTTATTTGACAAAAAAATGAAATGATAAGAAAATTTACATATGAATTGATACACATATTAATATATATAAAAATTAATATAGTCTTGGATTTGAATGAGTCTTCAAAAAAATGAGTTTAAACGCAAACACATTATTATTAATATAAGACTTTATAAATATATAACTTGATATATAAAATATGATATTATATATAAATATATATTTAAAAAATCATAGTATAAGTTATAAATGAAATGTTAAGTTATATATGATATATAAGTTTAAGTTGAGTCTCTCCTCAAAATCAATGTGTCTGTCAGTCACTCTTCATCCCTTTCCCAAAGTCCAAGTGCTTTCTCCCGGTGTGTAATTGATGAGTGGCCTTAAAGCTCATTTCAATATTGATCAGAGATATTAATATTATTATTATTTAATTATTATTTTATCATTATTATACAGTATATATATATATTATACATTATATTTTATGTTTGTATTATCATTTTTTCATATTATATATAAATTTTTTATTTAATTTAATTTTATTATTATTATTGTCATCAATTCATTTTTTTGTTCATTTATATCATTCATTCATTTATTAATTTTAAAATAAAATATCTCAATCTCTCTCCCCATTACATACAACACACATATTATTATATTATTGTATACCATTGAACAACCATTTGAATTAATGATTGAAAAATATAAACCAAATATTAGTGATATGAAAACACCCACTGAATAAGCCATAAACAACCGTAAAATTTATGGTATCTTTATATTGAAAACATTTTATTTCGTTTTTTAATTACATAATTAAACAAAATGTTATAAAAATTTAAGTAACAATATTATTGATTAATACAAAATTTTAAATTATAAGACAATAAATCCAAACATAATTATGTGGTATTATATTTATTATTGGATGAGGTGTTGGGCTTTAATTTTTTTTAAATAATATTATTATTATTTGTCAATTAGTGTGATAATTATTATTATTAATTGCCAATACATATGATTAAAAAAGACAATAATAGGATTTAAACAGATAAAAAATAATTACATAATCATTACATGCAATATATTAAAACAACATAACCCGGACAAACATAGACACGACATTTATAAATTAAAAATGTATACTGGTACTTTTTAATTTGTTTGTGTAAAAATGGATTTGTATTAACTAATATTTTTTTTATAAAATAATTAGTAGATAAATTCAATTGTAAATGAAATACCAAAATTTATATATATTTGTTTTATTATTATTATATAATTATTATTATTATTTACAAGTATATTATAATTATACTAATTTTTTAAAGTAGATGAATTTTACTCTCAATTTTATTATTATTATTATATTTGGTTTATTTTGTGTTTTAATTAAATATTTAATTAAATATATTTTCATTTTTTAATTATATATATATATGATTTTTAGTATACAATATTAGTATACATATCTTTTTATTAAATGGCATGAGTTATTATTATTATTATACATTATTTGATTATATAAAATTAGTATAATTTTAAGTTTTAAAAACTTTGATAAATCATTGTACAGAATCGTTAATTCATTATAATAATAATAATATTATTATATGATTATATTAATTATTAATAATTATATTGATATTAATACATTTATTATTTAAAACTTTTTATTTTGACTATTTTTATTTTATTAATATTGTATTAATGTTAATAGTGTATATAAATACAATATTATAACACAATTATAAAAATGTGTTTAGCAGCTTGATTTAGTTAGAAATGTTATTTTGAATTAGGTAGCAATAAATGAGATATCAATTTATAGTTTAATAATTGCATTTAACTGGTTAATTAGTGTAAAAATTTAGATTTTACAGTTATCTGAATTATTAATTGAATGATCTGGGTAATATACAGTATAGAGCATGGTAAATAAACTGTAAAAAATCATATGTTAAAAAATTAATGTGTTTTTTTGTTTAGTTTTTAGTTTTAAATGGATTTTTATAGTATTATTAGAAGTTTATGATGATTTGTCAATTAATGAGTGCAATAAATAGATTTAATGACAACACCAGTATATAGTGGTAATGAAGTTTTTTCAACAGTTATTATTAAACCGTATATTTTTTATTTGGTTAATCGTTTTATTATTATTTTTTTGCCACAAATTGAAAGCCAACAATTGAAATGCATAGAAATATGGGATGAGTGAGTGATAAAATGATAATTAATATTTTATACAGACAATTGTCTATTATAGTAACATAACAGTACATTAAAGTCTCCATTAGTCGACCATTAGAAACATTACATCAATAAAATGCTAAATAAATATAGTATTATTATAATACTATTATACGCTATATAAATAGTATATTATATATATACTGTATTTAAAAATTAATTTAATCCGAAATATTCCATATTTCCATCAATTATTTATTCTTTTATATCAAAAATTTCTGATATTTTTATATTTTGTGATAATATATTTATTTTTATTATGAAACCTTAAAAATCTATGCCAGCAGTCAAAAAGACATCAATTATATTATATATATATATATATATATAAGAAACAATAAAATTATATTGCTCATTTTTGTATTATGTTAAATTTATAATTTTAGATCATACACAAATCATTGAACAATAATAATTTCTATTGATCCAGGCAATTTAACATTAAGTATGTGATTATTATTTATGATTATTATTATTATTGGTAATATTATAATTTATTCAAATTGAAGTTAAAGATATTTTATCCACAAAAAACATGTCATCACAAAACAACTATCAATTGAATGAATAGAAAATATTTAAATGTTTTATTTTTTTGAAAATATTATTTTGAAAGGAAATACATATATAAATATATGTTTTATTTATGCCGTTAAACTATAATAAATTTTGATTGCATTTGTGGTTGAATTTATTAATATCATGATTGCATTAGCTATCATTGAAAATATGAAACTTTCTAAATAAATAATATATATATCTGAGAGACTAAATAAAAAACTAATATTAAAATAATAGATAATTTACGATACGATTAGGTCAATGTGTTTTGTAGGCCAGTGCTGGTCCAAAATAAAAACTCAAGGAAATAAATGTTTTAACTTACAATAAAACATAAATTTATTAAAAAACATTACAAAACTTATGACTCGTTCCCAGGACTATACAGTTATGACAAACATTTATTTATTACTGTTATTAAAGCACAGAAATATACATTAGTAATATAATTTAAAATAATAATTTGTTTATTAATGACTAAAAAAATTATTGACAAAGTGATAGTCCACTTGAATGTATATAAACAATAATTAAACATATAATAAGTTATAATTAACATAAATATTGAGAGAAAAAATCAAATAGTGCCGAGCAATCAATTAAAACACTTATACAGTATATAATCAATTGAATGCAATACAATATAATGTATGGTATTTAATAAATGACTTTAATTAAACAGATGAAAAAATTACCGACAAATATTAAGTTAACATTTTTAAATCCCAAGTAATATACAATATGTTTATATGTTTATAAACAAATTGTATTTTATAAAATATTATAAATAATATATCAATCGATACTTTTAAATTTTCACCATTTAATATATTGAATATTATACAACATTTGGCAATTTGTAATTAATTTAATACCATTAATAGATAATCATTCATTTTAGCTGTTATATGATAACAAATTGAAAATATCCCGGTTATTAAAGTTATGAGTATAATTATACTTATTATTATTATTAAAAGTTATTTTTATCTCATTTTCATTTCATAGTTTTATTTGTTTAATTTATAAACATCTCTCTCTCTCTCTCTATCTTAATAATAAGTATGTAATATACAAATATGTATCAAAAATGATAATATACTGTATATTTGTTTATTTTTCTATAAATTTCAAACATATTTCGTTATATAAAATCTGTGCTAATAATTGTTTTCATAAATTCATTATTGAAAATAACATTTGAATGACAAAATAAATGAAGAATCAATGATAGATATAAAAAAGTTATCAGATTTCATACGATAATAAAATCTTTATATATTGTATATAAATAGAAATATTCAAACAATTTTTGTTTTTTATTTGTTAATACGTACCATATATTAGTTAGATATTGTATATTAAATACATACTAAAAGCTTTTAGGCAATACTAGTGACAGTTATTATATAACCAATGCACTCAATCTCATTGTTTTGCTATATGTTGACTATAATTTTTGTTTGTTGGCTTATTTTATTGGATACACATTATGTGTGCACATATAGTAATAATTGGGTATATTTGAAAAAACAACATAAATAGATAAAGTATAATGATATAACATTTATGTTTGTATGTATGTTTGTGTGTGTGTGTATTTTATACAATATATAATATTATACAGTATATTGGAGGAGATAATACTAAATTTCACAGCATCACAAATGTATATATATTTATTGAATGTCAATACAATACAATACAATAAAGCATTATTAGTATTATTATTATAATCACAATTATTTGAGTCAAATAAACAAAAATCAATTCATATGTAAAAATACATCAGAAATATCATCGAAACATTTTGACTCTTAAATTAATTTCTAAAAAGCTTTTTTTAGAACACAAAAAATAATAGAAATAATTAAATATAACAATTATTTCATTACAAAAAAACATATTTGAAAAAATCAAGTTATCAGATATAATAACAAGTCTAATGCATTATAAATGATCTAATTATTATTACCCCGTTTGTCATACATGATAACAAATATGACAAATATTAATTTATTTAAATATATATAATTTATATATATATATGATATATATATTGAATCATTTATTATAACATATTAGACTTGTGAACAATTGTGTGATACATTTGGAGCTTGCCTTCACCAATATTGTCATTAATTATTATTATTATTATTATTACAATTATTATTTATTACTGTAAGAATGTTTTTATAATAATGATTATTATTATCTCTTTAAAAATAATTATCAATTTCTCTATTAGTAATAATTAAGATTTATTTATTTATTATGTAAAATAAATTATTAATATACCCGTTGCCTTAAAATTTTAAAAATTTTAAAAATTATACGATTTTGAATACCATTTCATCATAAATATTGACCATTCATTATAAGCACATTATTACCACAAAAACCAAACAAACATACAGTAATATTAAAAGATAAAAGTAAAAAATTTTAATTCAACAAAATATAATGTAATTACAATTTCTCCCACACAAAACAAACTTATAATTATTTAAATTAAAAATAAGTATAATTAATATCAGCAAATAAAATATCAGCAAATTGTATCGTTGCGCTATCATTATTATTTGGACAAAAAAATGTGTTATACAATATTAATTAAAATGATAAAAATAATGATAAATTTATATTATAAACACAGAAATAATTAATATTCAGATCATTGCCTGTTATGTCCCACATTTTTTCTGTTCATTTTATAAAATAAATTATATGAATATGAAATTAATTTTTTGCATAAAAAATAACACAGATAACAATTTTTTAAAAAGCAAACACAACATACATAATATATGATATATAAATAAATAAATTAAAATATTTATACAGTTAAACAAATTAAAGTTATCAAATGAATAAATATTTAATAATTATTTAACAAAATAATTAATGAGAAAACAATACAAACAATTTTTTGTGAATTTTTTTTTTAAAAAGAAAATCAATGAATTTTCTTTAAATATTCTTTAAATATATATAAATATAATTCTGTTTTATCTCTTGTGTGTAATGTTTGATAATATTCTTTATATGATATAATAATAAACCAAAAATGATTTATCAAAAAATATATATAATAAGAGATATAAATTCAATTTTTATGTATAATAAATTATAAATATATATAACTATAGCAATTTTTGCTATTTTTAACTTCCATTACTTAATTTAAATTTATATATATAATTAACATTGTTTATTATTATACTAACAATGATAATGATACCAAATATATAAATAATATTTAATTAAAGTTTGTAATTATTTTTATTTCAATTTGTCATTATATACATACATATAAATATATAAATATAAATATTTAAGTTATAATTTTGAATAACAATATTGATATAATTATTATGTTTTTTTTGCAAAGCATAACAAATAAATTGTTTGTTATAATGAATAAATAAATATATAAATTATATATAAATCTATTGCCATTAATAAAACATCATTATTGATTTAAAAAATTATATTGACTTAATTATTTAATTTTTTTAATATTTATATTTAACAAAATCAGCCATCAGTTTCAATGTTTAAAAATTATGTAATTTTAAAAAAACAATTATAAAATTAAATGTCAACTACTGTTTATAAATTCAGTAAATCATATAAAAAGTATATTAAATGACTAGTATTTTAGACATCAATGCATCAGATTATGACATATTTACTGAAGTCATACAATTCATTGATATTTAATCTATTTTTAGATTGAAACTGATTTATATTAAATATGACTTAAATTAAATTTTTTTGAATACAAAATTTTATTTACAAATTAATATCAACTATAAAGTACAGTATATTAATAATATTATGTTATATGTTCTATAAATTACTTAAACGGTAAACAAAATCAATAAAAATTAGATACTTTTTAATAGCTTATAAATTATAAGCAAAAATAATTTTTAATGAATATTGAATGCAATGAATAAAATGAAAAACACTTTACTAACTTAATCATATTGTCATTAATAAGTTTAATTATTATTAATAATTGACTAGTTTTACATTTATTTATAATATTATATACATTAATAACTTAAATATTTAGACTAAAATTTTAATAATAGTTATTAAGACTAAGCCAATGATATGATATATTTCACATACTATCGCAATGATTAAGTTTAAAAAAAATTAAATCAAAATACATTAATTAATTATCTTAAAAAGTTGTCATATAAATAGTTATCACAAATAAATTATTATCAAAAATTGATAATTAGTTATCATAATAAATGACTAGATGTTTAATAAAAATTTTATTTAGTATTTAATAATTTAAATAAACCTAACAATTATTAAATAAAGTTTAATGTGTTTCAATCAATTTTTGTAATACTTTATATTATTTATAAAATAATATTGACATCAATTAAAATCATCAAATTATGCTACAATTAATTGTATTTATAATTACATTCATTGTATTAATAATCGCATATTTATACCACAAATGGACTTTTTGGAAGCGACAGGACATACCTACTGATCAATCATCAAGAAATGGTCAAATAATCCATTTGATTGATCAAAAGTGTCATCAAAAATATGGTCGAATAGTTGGTTATTATGAGGGTATCAGACAGTGTCTGTCTATAACTGATCCCAATCTTATCCGAAAAGTTTTGGTTACCGAGTTTCACAAGTTTGCCAATCATAGGGACCTAACACTGGCCAATGAGCCACTATCGACGGCAATATTTTTTCAGCCCTACCATCAATGGAGACGTATTCGGGCAATACTGTCGCCATTCTTTACTACGGGTCAGCTCAAGTCAATGAAACCAATTATCAGCAAATCGTTAGACTTATTGATCGACAAACTGAAGCCAAAAGCTGAAGACAACGAAATTCTTGATTTTCGACTTATTTTTGATTCATTTACTTTTGATGTCATATCCAAGACAACAATCGGTGTCGACACTGACGCTATCAATCGACCGATTGGTAATCAATTATTTGAATCCGTCAAAAGTTTAATTCATATCGATATGGGGTTTGGCATTGTCTTAGCCTTCTTGTTCCCGAAAGTCCAGAGTTTATTAAATATTTCATTTTTCAATACTAAAAGCCAATATCTAATCGTCAATACATTAAAACGTGTGATCAATGAAAGAATCGCTAATAAAGTTGATGTCAAAGATCTACTTCAGATGACTATTGACGCCAGTGTTTTGTCAAACAAAGATAACAAAAACAAGTCTTTTAAAAAGCTAACTAAACAAGAGATTTACGGTCAAAGTCTTAACTATTTGGCCGCCGGTTATGAGACTACAGCCACTCAACTATGCTTTCTTTGCCAATATTTGGCTCTGTATAGCAATTATCAGAAAAGATTAGTGGATGAAATTAAGTCAACATTTGACGACATGTCTGATATCAGTTATGATAAGCTCATGAAAATACCATTTCTGGATGCTTTTATCAAAGAGGTTCAGCGGATCAACTGTTCAGTGAGTCGTATTGAAAGAGTAGTCATTGAAGATGTTATACTCGACGGTATATATCTGCCAAAAGGTACGCCAATAATAATACCTATTTATGCCGTACATATGGATCCTGACTTTTATGACGAGCCGAACCAATTCAGACCCGAGAGATGGCTACCGAACAGTGACTATACGGTCATTGATTACACACATCTACCCTTTGCCGTCGGTCCGCGCAATTGCATTGGTATGAAGTTTGCTGTAATGGAGATGAAGTATGCAATCGTCAGTTTGTTGATTAACTTTGAGTTTGTGGCCACTGATGACACAGAAAAATTGATTTATGACTGCAATCCCAGCTCACAAATTGCTTCACCAAAACATTTTTGGATACAAATTAAGAAAAGGTGTCATTAAATGTAAAACACAATTATTATATATGTAATCATTAATTAAATGATTGATTGTCTCTTTGATTTGCATTTTTATTTACTGCAATTTATATAATAAGGATATAGACTTAATAAAGACAGCATAAAAATTAATCATGCAATAAAACAATCTATTATAGATTATATTAAATTATATTAATAAACCGTAAATCTATTAATATTATATAATACACAATCATTTAATCAATTTACCTAAACTAATGTACATCACTACAGTCTATCTGCAACTAACTTAACATAAATAAAATTTTTATATTACCGGTAAATTACACCAAAAAAAATGTTGAATTACTAACATATTAATTATAATATATTAGTTTAACTAATTTTACTTAAATTATTTATATTCTTATAAAATGTTCTGTAATAAAGTTAAGTAAAAACCTTACTCTAAGCTCAATAATATTGCAATTTATTTATATAGTGATTTGATTTTTAAATAATACATATAATTCTTGTGTATTTTTAAAAACAAATTGAGACTAATTAAAAATTTTATAGAAAGTTTAAGGAAATTAATATAAGAATAAAAATTTATTTTCTATTAAAATTATTTAATTATATATTCATAGGATATTTATAACTTTCAAACTAAAATAGTTATAATTTTATGTATATTTTTATATGTCTTTACCGGTAATGTGCAACCAATAGTTATAATATTTTTTTAAAAAGAAAATATCATTTTAAAATAATTTATAAACTTTTTTAATCTAAATTATTATATTTCTATTTTAAAAGTATAATAATTATTTTAATAAATCATTATAAAATGAATTACTGACATTTAATGTTATAAATTTTTAAATATAACGATGTAGTTGTTATTAAATTTTATTGTATTATTTTAAATTAGTAAATAATAAGACAATTATGTCTAATAAGTGTAACTTTATGTGAATCGCTACTAATTATGAAAACATTTGTCATAAATAAAATTATTTATTACAAAAACTTTAAGTCAAATAAAAAATAACAAGTTTAGGACACAATAAAAAAATCCCAAAAATAATTAAGTTTTTACAAAAAAAAAATTAGTCTTAACTAAGTTTAATAATAGTTTTTTAATTATAATAAAATTGATATATTAATTATGACCATTTCCAGTGATTGCCCTGATAGGTTTATATGATACCGGTGCCAATCAACAGGTGCCAGCATTTGCTCCGGCAGTTTGGGTGCCGTCTGTGAACACACAGCTGTAAACTGTATGCAATGTAGATGTAGTCAAAAGGCAGACAATATTATTGAAAAATGAGACAAAACTTTTTAAAAAGCATTTCTCAGTTAATACTATACAGTGATAGACAACACGTTTAAAAGCATTGAATGCTATTGAGAGCCACGTGTTGTTGAATGCATAGTAATTGCCGTTTTGTGTCTAGAAATTAGTTTGTCTTTTATATTAGTTAATCATTGAATTGATTTGGTGTCTGACATACCTATCAATTAGTGGTGACTGTGTTTAGCTGTATATTAATGAGTCTAAGTTTGCCGATAATGTAAACATATGTTTCACTCATTATCACTACAAATGCGAAATATAATAAACGTAAGCCCTATAGAGGAGCCCCAGGGCCTCCACATGTCTACCCCACACCACCACCATAACCATCAACATCACAGCACCGAAACTGTTGTCTATCAGTTCGAGATTCCCCAATACCTTTGCGGTCGACTGATCGGCGAAAAGGGTCGGTTCGTTATGTCCATCAAATATAAGACCAATGTTAGTGTTGTAGTGAATCGACACTATTTTGTAAGTGATATGAAGATATGCACCCTTACAGGTATGTACTGACATAGTTGGGATCAAATGAACAATATGTTTGAAAAGTATTTGTTAACTAATGCATACATACGGTAGGCATACGACCGGCTATTAAGGAGGCCCTCAATATGATTAGGAAACGATTTCCCATTCAATTATATCCAAGCGTTTCATTACAACAAATCAATTTACTCAACACATCCCAAACCTGTGCGTTACCACAAACATGTCAGGTATGACCATATGTTTGTGTATATGCTTTACGTTAGACTTAAGCAAAACATATGTCTCATCTTTAGCTTCAACTTCCATCGGGTATCTCTTGTGATGTAATATTGTCGAGTTTGGTCAGCGCCGGTCACTTTTTCCTGCAACAGCCCACGCATCCCACTTATCCATCGCTCAACCGATTAGACTACTGTATGAATCAGACCTATTCACAAGACAACACTCCACAGCTTCCAAACATTCAAACCGGTATGATATGTGCCGTACCGTTGATGGGCGGTTGGTTTCGGGCAGTGATCATCAAAGTGCACAGTAATGATGAGTGCGATGTGATGTTTGTCGATTACGGCGGTTTCTCGCGACTTCCGGTGTCAACATTGAGACAAATCCGCTTTGATTTCATGACTCTGCCCTTCCAGACATCGGAATGCCATTTGGCAAATGTCGAGCCTATAGACCGTAAGTGTCTTTTCTCGTGAAATACTTCTACTAAATAATGGCCACTAATATACTTTGTTGTATATTGATTGCCATTTACAGCGGAAATTGGATGGACTCAAGAAGCCAATCTAGTTTTTGAGGAGTTAGCACAGGGACAGATACTTCAAGCCATTGTTGTCGGATATACGGACAGTGGCATACCATTGGTCAATCTCTTTAAGATACAAGGAGTCACTGTTAGTAGTATTCAATGAGGAACTGTTGATTGACTTTTTTTTGATTGCAGACAATATTTATTAACGATGAACTCATCAAACGAAGTCACGCCCAATGGACTAACTGTTCGACATCTAGTGATAGCGGACTAACAGAAGAGGCCGTGGAAACTGAGGAGGAAGACGCAGATGAACGAGTAGATGACACTGTCGACGGTTTAACTCATGATTTTGTGAAATTAAATACTGAAGAAAATAATAATTTAAGTGAAGACACTTCAGTCATATTGACCAATGATTCATCAAAAGTGATAGCAAATCATAAAAATGAATTAAAGTCTAAACAATCGATTAGTTCATCAAACAATAGAAAGGATGATAAGAATAGTAATGACAAACTTGACGGTCAAAACAATGAAGACATTGAAGACGATATCGAGGAAAGCAGAGCCGAGACATTGACGGACACTGAGGTCGACGAAGAGTTGAAAACTTTGAACGTTTACCAAGAAATTTGTGATCTTCAATGTGATGTTATTTAAGATTTATAATAATAATTATTAATACATATATTATTGCTATTATTCTGTTATCTCTTAAATGTGAGACCAAAGACCAACTATTAATGAATGAAAAGAAATTTGTTTTGTGAATGAATTGAGAGATCAATTGTTTTGGGCTATTATTGATTGCTATGTTATATATATTATATATAAACATTATATCTATTTCGGTGCTTATTTAGACAGATATTAATTGATTGAATGAATTATTTATATATACATATTATATATTTCAATATTAATTAAGTAATTATTTCAATTTTATTGTTTAATTTTAATTTTGGATCGTAAATTTTTTTTGATCATTTTGACATTAATTGTATTTTTTAAAAATTATAACTATTTCTCACATTTTTTCCTATACTTTTTACATTAGAAATGATTATTTAATTATGACTATAAATTTAATTTTTATAATTAAAACATGTATTTGTTATAAATTTGAAAGAAAAAATTGTAATTATATATACAGTTATTATATTACTGAAAAATCAAACATGAATTGACATTTTAAATCATTCTTTTATTGTTATTATAAATTGATTAAAAAAAAGTCAAATCATATTGTAAAACAAAATACTATTTTCTATGAAATTTTAAAATTTGTGCCAATTCTGTAAAAAAATGTTTTATCTTTATTTATTTATTGACAACAATAATGACTTATTTTAAGTCAGTTCCGAGTCCGAGACTATTGTTGACTTGTTTTTGCAGTTATTTAAAATAGCAAACAATAATTTGAATGATTGCCGCAAATATGGTAACTAATAAATTAGCGCTAATTATTTATAAATGTATTTTATTATTAATATTTTTTTTTGTAAAATTTTATAGTTTTTGCGCATATGAAATTTACAGTAGTTTTATTGCTATAATTGTTGATAATGGCTAGTATTATGTGATTACGTAATTGCTTATTACTGTAGATTTTACGATTCAGAAATTGTTTTATTGAGGATTTCACATATAATACATAGTTTATAATTTTATTTATTTTTAATGTGTTAAATAAACCATTTGATTTAAGACTACTTTAAAGATTTTTTTTACTTATACCTCTATATACGTTAATATTATTTTTTATCGGTATATTATATACCGATAAATGTTTTATGCTTAATATAATACATTTATAAACTTTATTATTTTAGTAATACTCTAGTGATCCCAATATAGCTTAATAAAACCAATAACTTTAAAGTTTATGTGAAGCCATTTGAAAACTTAGAAAATTAATTAAATGTAGTATAATAAAACTAATTAAAAATGTTTTATTTTTATATTTTTAATCCACTTATTTATTCTATATTTAAATAATGTTTTCAAACATCTAATTTAAACATTGAGAATATAGTAAAAACTTATTAAATAATGATTAACTTATATTTTTAATACATTAGCAAAAGAATTATTATTATATGTTATAATTCATAGGGTAATATTTGCCAATATTTTAATATATATTAAAAATTGAGATATTTAATTTAATAACTAATAAATTCATTTAATATTTTTTTATTATTTTCAAAAAATCTCATAGTGTTAACATTTTTGGTTTTATAAATAAATCAAAATTCACTTTAGATTAGTTAACTTATACCTCAAACTTCATGTCTTTACCCAAAAACACTGATTAAAATTCATATCAAATGTTAGCCCTTTTTAACCCTTTTTTTCTTTCAATCGATAAACTAATGACAAAAACCTCGAAGCGATAACTAATAAAAAAAATTGTTTCATTTGAATAATTGAATCAAACATAAGATTTATTTTTATTATTTTCATTATTTTCATTATTTTCATTATAATATAGATTTGCCTTTTTTAAAGAGAGAGAGAGAGAGAGAGAGAGAGAGAGCTCATAAGGATCGTTGAACTTTAATAGCAAATTTTGTTGCCCTATGTTTAATAAGTTTGATCTCTTATTATACATACCTGTGTGCCCACCAAACCTACCCTTAAGGACTTGTCTATCAAAATCAATTGACTTCTTAAGGATTAATTTTACAATATATATACAATATATATGTATACAATATACTGTATATGTACTCTATATACCTGTATATTAAGTTTAGTATTTTAATATATTTTAGTTGCTAAGCATTCAATACCTGGTCATAAAAAATATTGTTTTAAAGTTTGCTTTTTTATATATAAGATGTTATATTCAAAAACTTTGGATGCTTTGAAAAAATTCAGACATTTTTATCAAAAAATTCAATCTCTTTGAATATATAAATATGTATCTAATTTTCGGTTATTAGACTAATTATGTTTTTGTTTTTATTTGGAGAAAAATAAATAATTTTGTTTTATTATCCACATACTGTATAAACTGTGAATAATTTGATGTTAGATACGATATACTTTATATTAAATATTAAAATATAGTATTTATAAAATTTATATTACATGGTATACTTAGATCAGTATATAAATCCAGATTTAAGTTGCCATACAAAACATCATTTTAATAATTAAATTTTTGTATCTTTTGTATATTTAGATATATTTTGGTTAAGAGCCATAAAAATAATAATTTATGATTTTAATCTTATCATAACAAATAACTCGTTTCAATGATTTGTATTCAAATAAATTTTAGTTATAATATTAATATTTCAAAAAATAATATTTGTAATTAACATTACACATAGAAATACAAATAAAGGTTAGTTTATAATTTATAAATTTAAAGTATTTAATGTAAATGTAATATTTGATCAAATTAGTAATCTTTAATTATATTCAAACAAATTTGATACTAATATATTGATGTTATTAAAAGTTACTGTATATCACTTCATAATTATTAAGTGTTAATTATTTAAAAACATTGGCTATCCTTTTGTTGATAAATCTTAACTTTGTTAAACATAATTAAATATATTTTAATTTTAACAATTTAATATGACTAGAATGTATTTTATTATACTTTATATGTTTTCTTAATTAGAGTTTTTCTAAAAAACACAAATAAAATTAAAATCTCAAGTATTTAAAGTATAATTTAATTAACATATTTTTAAATATTTTTTTATTAATGCACTTTTCCCATTATAAAATAATATAAGGATATATTTTGTTTTATTATAACATTACGTTCTATAACTAATGTATTTAATGTATTTAATTAACAAAAAAATAACTGTCAATTTTAATCTATATTATTTATCAATTTATATTAATTATTTTAATTTAATGCAAATATGTAACGGGTGTGTGTGTGTATGTGTGCCATTTAATTATACAAAATTCAAGCAATATAAATATATAAATTTTTTATTGGTAATAACAATATTACAAATTTAATTTTTAGATATTTCAATATCTTATAAAATTGGCAAATGGACTAATTTTAAATAAATATAATAATTTTTAATGTAGTCGCAAATCAGTTAATGCGAAAAATTGTTTTGATTTAATATTAATATAGATATAAGTGTCAATCAAAACAATTGTTATAATAATAAATAAAAAAATAATAATATCATTATTAATATGCTTACTATTCGTGTGTGAATTACTTAATGACTGCTATTTGATTCAAACAGTTTATATACTTAAATGAAATGAAAAAAAAAATTTAAAAATTGGAAAATTGTTAGACATTACATACTTCGCCAAATAAGATGTGAGGGCTGTGTGTGTGTGTGTGTGTGAGAGAGAGAGAGAGAGAGAGAGAGCATCGGGAGGTGTAAGATATAGACGTGCCATAAGTCACGAGATGTTTCCCTCTCCTAATGGCTCATGAATTTCGGTTAAATCTATTTTTATTTAATTAATCTCAACGCCGGTCTCTCCCCTCAAAACACATTTATATATACATAAGTATGGTTTATATATCTCTCTCTCACACATTATTTCACGCAAATCATATCATTATATCATTGTTTTATATAAGTGAATGACTTTTTAGTTTATGCAACAAAAAAATTAAATGTCATGAATATAAAACACGTTTTATAAACTTTAGATACAGTTTATTATAAAGTTTGATATATTTTTTAATAATGACATTCATAATTAATAATGATTTTAGCAGAAAATAGCTGCTATTACTAATAGCCTATTATTCAATATTATGCAAAATTGTTAATTTATTAGTTAAAAATATTTATTTGCGAAATATTAAAGAATATAATTTATACATAAAAGTATAATATATAGACAGTGATAGTAATTACAAAAATTGTAGATAATAAATATTTAATTAATTAATTAATTAATTGAAATATATTAATCTATATTAATTTTAAAAATGTGATTATTATTGCTGTATTAAAAATTAAATAATTATAATATTAATAAATAATAAAATAAATAAATTAAAATTATTTTACTTAATCTTTATGTAATAAAATGTATAAACTTTTAATAAAATATTTTAATAACTAAGACGGTGTAATAAATTTCTATTGCCGTTAATTAATTAGAAAAATAAAATCTTGAATTATATACAATTAAAAGTAAATAATTTTCTAAATCTCGTATAAAAAACTAAAGATGTTTAATACATGTATAAAACATAACTACAAATAAATATTTTACAATAAAAAATAAGTACCATATATATTGATAACGTTTTAAATTAAGTTTTAATTAACTATTCAATAATTGCTATATAAAAATCTAAATAAATATTTATAATCATCTGAGTTTATAAGTGGTTTCAGACTTAAAAAATTAAAATATATTTTAATAAAATTAAATACTTTTAAAGTGTATAAATCAATAATTATTCAATTTTATTTAAAAGACAATAAATATTTACATTATCATAAATTATTATATTATGATGTATTACCGTATATACAATGCTATTAATATTTAAACGCATTTATTGATTATGTATTTATTTTTTAGTCAAAAGTAAATTTCTGAAATCATTGTTACTTAATGGTTGTCCTGAGTTTGATGTCGACCCCGAAGACGTCTCTTTGTCTCCATTTTGTGTCTGCCTTTGAACGCGAAGAGCTGTCGGAATCATTGGTGCGTTTATTCTTGTCTTTGAATATCTTGTAAATGTGTCGCTATTTTTTAAAATAAATAATAGTAAAAATTTAGTAAAAATAAAATAAAAAATATTTACGATAATCGTAAATAAACACACCTTCCGTTTGCTGTCTGTACTGAACTGAATGTTCGGTCTTCACGACTGATAGGTTTAGCGTTGGGGTTACTGATGGCAACAATTATATTCCTATTATCAACCAATAGTCCGTCGGATTCTTTTACGGCCAATTGTGCCGAAGATTCATCGGTAAACTCGACGTAAGCGCAACCTTTTGAGTGACCGTTTCTATACGTAACGAGTCGGACGTCTTTAAGTGAACCATATTTTTCAAATACTTTTCTCAAGTCTTCAATTTTGGTATCAAATGAAAGATTTTTAACATAAATTTTGTGTTTTTCAACGGATGAACTAAAACTAAACTTTGCTTTCCTTCCCATTTCAGATATAAATACGGGTCGACCTTCTAATGGCATTCTGTCGTGTTTTAGCGCATCTTTTACTGAACTAATCGACTCGTATTCAACATAAGCGTAACCTTTAGACAAACCCTTATAGTTACGAACTAATCGTATGTCAGATATTTGGCCAAACTTTTCAAAAGCAGAGCCAAGTTGTGTTTCATTTATTTTAAAATCCAAATTACTGACAAAAACTGTTTGCAAATCCTTAGACCCGTCACCCTTATAGGTCACTCCATGTGTGGGTACTTCTGATTGTTGTGAATCAGATGTTTGACTACTTCTACTTTTATCATCTTTTGTTTCAATGACTGGTCTAATCTTAGACTCATTTATTTCTGTCTTAGATTTCTTAGGCGTCGATACAGAAGTTTGAGGTATTTTAAATCCGTCGGCGTCGACATCAGCTGTTGTTAGCTTTAGTTTGTCATCAATGGTTGTCGAGGTTTGTTCGCCTGCTTTACGTTTGGCCGCTCTCTTCAGTTCATATTTCTCAGCTTTTTTATTAGTCTTTTGGCGTTTCTTTTCTTCGGCTTCTCGTTCGGCGAGTTTAATACGTTTTTCATTAGTTTTATTCATAATTGTCTCAAATTTATTAAACACTTCATCAAAACTTTCAATAGAAACGCCTTCTTCGCGTTCAAACTCTAGCAATAGTTGTCCAACACTTTCGGGCCAATCACTGGATGCGTTGAGTCCTCTTAATAAGATTTTTCTATAATGTTTGTCATTTCCGTATTGTTTTTCCAAACGCGAGAAAGTAATCCAGTTCTGGGCCTGAGATGAGATATCTGGTCGTGATTTCATCAATTCATTCCATAATTCGCGACTCTTTTCAATGTTATTACAAAACTTGGCCTCAATTTTAGCCCAGTATTGCAATACTAAACAATTAGGATCAGAGCTATCAATGTTAGTCAAGTGCTCGACGGCCTTCTCAAAGGTGTTGCGCAAACTTTTCACTTCATTGTCATCTTTCCAATTGGTTTTGCGTCTCAAGTAATCCAAATATGTCAGCCATGTTTGCAAGTATTCATTCGGGTCCTGAAAGCCCACCTCTAGTGCCGACTCTAATGTTTCCATAACTTTTTTATGGTCAGACTTGAGCCGTTCCAATGCTCTTAAGTAACTGATCCATATAATTGAACTCCACGTACAATTCCTGACCGCACGTTCATAGACGGGCAACAAAATAGTATCAATTACTACCTTTTTGTCCAAATAAGTCACGTATTTGTGCCATAAATCAGAAATAAGACAATTATCAATCAGTGCTCTTTCATATATGGATTGAACTCTTTGTGGAGTACTGTTATGGGTCTCATACTCTATATATCTGATATATTGTTCATAATGTGGTGCTTCTGATGTCTGTAACGCTTCTTCATATGGTATGAGTTTCTGGAGTTCATTAAATGCCTTATCATAAGCGGCTTTAATTGAATCAAAATTAATGTCAATCGAGTATTTTTCAACAATAGTTTTACACCACTCCTGTCCTTCGCTATAACTGTTATCCATTCCTAAGAGAGGAAGTGATAGTTGGCGTCGATATAACTCTAGAATTCTGTCAATTTGTTTCTTGAGCTCATCGTTCAAATGTTGTTCTTCGCCGTCCATCGATTGAAGTATAAATTTCTCAAACTCTCTGAATGTGTCCCAAATGAGAACTCCTTTGTCGACATTGAGTCCCACATAAGTAAGCGATCGTTCAAATATTCTTCTGATTCCGTCGACACCCAACGTATCCATCAAACCAATCGAGTACTGGACGTACTCTAACCAGATATCAAGTGAAGTGTAATCATTGACCGCCCGATCAAACAGTTTAATGATATTTGATTTCTCGTCAAGAGTTGTGGCGATTCTGATCTCATCGTTGATCCACTTAAGCCATAAACTCGGTGTCAATGGATAGACGCGACTCATGCGTTCTCTGGCCTCACGGATCAGTTCAAGTTCGTCACAAGACTCGAGTTTGTCAATCAAATCCATGTGTTTTTGATAATCGTATGAATTGATTGACAACTGTTTAAAAGATATGACAATAATTGGTTAAATCTTATCAAATAAATCAATGATAATCACAACAACTTACCTCTTCTTGTAATCGATTGATGTCTAACATTATCTGTTGATCTTCATTGTCATCATCGCTGTCGTCATCTACGGCTTCATCACTATTATCATTATCAGACATGTCTTCATCCATATTGTTGTTATCCATATCTTTATCACCGATTGAGTCCATAATATATTTAAACTCAAATCAATTAATTTAATTCAATTGAAAACAAATATCAAATCAATTATAAAACTAATGTTTGATTCAAAATGTTTTCAAATGTATTAATAGATTGTTTAAACACTCGATGTGTGTGTAAAATGCGTTCACATATAACGTAAAACATAATACCAATGATTGTATAAATTTTATTATAATAGAGAATCTCTATTAAGTTAATAATGTTTTATAATTAGCTTAGAGTTTAATATTTAATAAGACTTGTATTTTTATTTTATAAATTAAACTTATTTTATTAAAATAATTTAAAACAAATATATTTTATATACCGTAATATTATTTTTTATTAAATAAATGAGACACCAAATTAGCAATTTGTTGATCACTATATATATCTGAATGATTGTCTTCAATATGTTTGCGATAATCAATAAATAAGTTGCTCTTAAAGTTGCAATCATTACACGGATAAACATAAAGACCGAAGTGTTTCTTTGTTTTTAATATATGTTTTCTGATGTTTTCTTGAGTATTGCATTCATAGCTATAAAATATATAATAAAAATGATAAATAATTTTCAATAATCTATTATTACCGTAAATATGATAACTGACCTGCAATAAGGACACCGATATGGCTTAACTCCTGTATGTATACGCATATGTCTAATCAAATTTGCACTCATATGTGCTTTAAAGTGACAAATATTGCATTCAAATGGCTTATCGTCGGTGTGTTGTCTGTAATGTTTTCTCAACGAATAAATAGATTTAGTTTTGTACGGACACTGATCGCAAAGGAAAGGCTTGTCATCGGGTGATAAGTGAACCTTTGAATGTTCGTTGAGTTCATATTTGTTGACAAAAGAGTGGTGACAATCAAGATATTGACATTTGAATTGTCGGTCACTCTTTGGTAAATGTCGTTTCATATGAGATATCATCTCAGATCGTGAGAAAAACTGAAGCCCACACTTCTCGCAGCCAAAAGTTCGTTCGCGGCTATTGTCGTGTGTCTTCAGATGTCTTTTAAGCAACTTATTCAATGTAAAGCCGACACCACATATCTCACAGATCTTATCTTTAATATATGTGTGAGTCTTCTCGTGATTCCTGAGATATACTAAATTTGAGAACTTCTTCTCGCACTTCAAGCACTCATACGGTGTTTCATTAATATGACTATTGATATGCTCTTTGAGTTGACGACAGATATAAAGTTTCTGACAAAGAGGACACTTATATTTATCTTCACTTCTTCGAAGTCGTGAAGTGTTACTGTTGTTATGTTCATCAATAGACGGCATTTGATGGTTAACTGAATGAAGCAAATGTATTGACTCTTTGTCGGTCTTAAAATCACATTTAATACACGAAAACTTTGGATTATCACCGATAAAGTTGCTTCTAATCAAATCGGGAAATGCAACTCTTCGGATATGTTCATCCATTGTATGTCTCTTAAGATTTGTCTTAAATTTAAAAAGTTTGCCACAAAAATCACACTTAAAAGTATCGAACAAATTGTTTGATTTTCTATTAAACGATTTCTTGGCTTTTAGTTTTAATTTACTTAATTTACAGATAATTATAGGACCAGAACTAATGCAATGATGTGTTTGATTGCTCTCCAGATGTGCCATAAGTTTCTTGACATCACCACAGCTTTCATGACATACACAACACTCAAATCTTGTCCGATGGGAACTGGCTTTTACTGAGTGATCAATTGTTGTCAAATGCCATAAGTAATTGTTTATTTGGTTCGTATAAAAGCAACAAATTTCACAAATAAATGACAACTTCTTCATTAATATTAACTCATTGTCAGTAATTAATTGCAAATTTAAGATATCATTTGTTGAATGATTTGTTGAAATTAAGTAATGTTTTAGTAATTCAATTGAATTCAATGCCTTATAATTATTACATAATTTACACATCAATTCATTGTCAATAAAATTATTACCGATTTGTTGGTTAAGACACTGTTGGTCAACAAAAGTTGATGTTTGGAAGTCCTGGCAATCAGTCGGTTGTCTTACAACAGAAGAATAAATATTTTTATCGGCGAATGAAAAACTATTTTCAATATAAGATTTTGTCGATTCATCAGATGTTCGTCTCTTCTTAAGCTCAAAATTCACTGAATTATCCGATGACTCGTCGGTCACATAAGTGGTAGATATGATCACCTCTGGACCGCTTCCAGGTTTCCATTTGCCACCTAAACAAGTGATTCATAAAATGAAAACAATTAAAAATCAGTCAATTAATGATTAAATCAACAAATAAGTTACAAAATACCCGTAAAATCTTTGGGCGGACGATAAATGTCATCATCTGAAGGGTCGTCATCTTCGGAGGACTGATTTTGACCACTTTGTACGTTACGAATATTGTGGTCATCATAATCTTCGTCGTCTTCTTCATCTTCTTCATCATTATTATGGTAAATGTCTTTGAATTTTGATTGTAATTGAAGACAATTGAAGAACTTGTTGGCAGTAATGACCACACAATTTGCATTCTTCCTGTGCTCGACATAGTTATCCAAACCATTGATTGTTTGTTTACAACGAAAACAGATATGTGTGTCATCTGTTATATCCATTATTTTTGGATCAATTCAGTGATAAATTATTAAATGTTTTTATTGAATATAAATTAATATTAAATTAATAACAAATATTATTATAAAACAAATAAAATACTATTAAATGATATGATTATTGATAACATCAAACATTTTGTTCACATATTTTGTATCAAATTATTATTATTATTGTATTAAAACATAACTTTTAAATATAATGATTATTAATATTTTATTATTTATATATTAATATCACTAATAATAACGTCATTTAAAACATTTTCTGTTTTCTAGACTTTAACCCCTTTTGTCTGTTATTCACTTTAAGAACATTAAGTATTCTAATACAACGTTACTATAAATAATAACAAATAAATAATATATGTTAACTATTTTTGTTATTTAATTAATTTATGTTTAGTTTTATAATTAAATTTATGTTTATATTTCAAATTAATATAAAAAATAAGTAAAAACTTTTAAAGTATTACCTCATTTAATAAAAACCTGTATTTTATTGCAATAATCATATTATAATATTATATTTAACAATAATTATGTTAACATTTACAGAATAATTGTCTATAACTTATTATAGGATTATTATAGTAATTCAAAAATGTTTTTATCACGTTATTAGTGCTCACTATTACTATATAAATAAATAACGTAATCATTATATTTAAGTTAAATTATGTTTCAATACAATAATAATTATGAGACAATTGTGAGGAATACAGTATTTTATATTTATTAATATTTACATATGATTTTTAATTAATGTTTTCAATATTAGTAATGCAATTCAATAATAGTAAATAAACTTTATTCTTTACATGTAATGATTGCAACTTTAAAAGCAATTTATTTATTGATTATCGCAAACATATTGTAGACAATTATTCATATATATTATATATAGTGATTAACAAATTGCTAATTTGTTGTCTCATTTATGATATTTAGTAAAAAATAATTTTTTATTTATTAAATTTAATAAAATGTTTTGTAAAAGTACTGTAATATAAAAATCTTAATTTTTTAATTTTAAAACTAAGAATCTCAATATATATGGTATAATAAAGACTAGTAAAATAAGACATTTGTCTATGTAGTCAATCAAATATATACTAAAATTTACAAATGATTTTATTAATAAAATAACAAATGCTTAAAAATATTGATTAGTATACTATTTATGTTAAATATAGTATAATATTAATGTACAGTAATAGTGACGATAAAATGCTATATAAAAAGTTTTATTAATATCACAAAATAAATGCCAATTTTATGCCAATACGAGTGGTTCGTCATCTGAAAAGCCACGAAATACCGGAGATTCGTCTTCTTCTTCTGCAATCATTAAAAATATAACAAAATTAATAAACATATAAGAGTTGTCACTAATTTAATATAAGTCTTACCCAATCCATCATTGGTGGTAAAAGTGGCCGAATCTGACCGAGTATTGTAATGACTGGAAGCAAACTGTAAAAAACTTCGTTGTAGTCGCCGATGTCTCGTAACAAATATGGCCAAAGCTATCACTAGAGCTGTCACTATAATACCAATTCCCACAACAACACCGATCACACTCGTCCTTTGAATCACTACTGCATCTAAAAGTTGTTTACATTTTTTGATAGATAAAAAACAAATGAATAAATAATAAGAACAAAAAGCATTTATCACTTACTTTCACCATAAGATGGTATCATATGATTACCAATGATTATAGTGTCGGATACGGGTCCCGAATACCCGTGTTCTTCGACCAGTGCCACAGATATATGATAATATTTTCCGTGTTGAGCCGGATAGATGAGGGGTGGTCTCGGGATATGGCGGATATCAACCTCATCGGTATTGGGTTCGGTGCTAATGTACACTTTGTATGAATAGCTAAAACAATTTTACAAACAGTTGATAATAATTTACACATATATTCACCAATAGATTACAAACCTATGATTACGTAATTCCTTTGGCCACACATTATCATCGATTGTCTTCCATATTATATAAAGAGATCCGTTATATTGTTGAATGGCATCGAGTTTTGTTACCCGAGGCAATGGTGTTGGCGTTAGTCTTAATGGACGAGTGTATCGAGCATTTTGATTATCAGTTCCCACTTTTATCTCATAAGTGGCACCAAAATGAATATAAAGTGGCATTTCTATTGATGTCGTATTTCTCGGAGATAATTGAAACCAATTGTCACGATTTTTAACTAAATCTCTAATACAGATGCGATAAACTACAGGCGTTTTTGACATTTTATCGCATGAAGAGTTCCACGAAAGTATGTATTTTGTCTTATCTGAAACAATCATTGAGTATTTAAGATTCTTTGGCGCAGCAATTGGATCGTATTGGGTCTTCATTATAGTCGACCCAATGGCAGGACCCACACCGTATGGTTTAAGAACTCGCACCTGTAGTATATATGATTCGCAGGACAGCAATCCTGTAACTGTTATTGTCGTTTCATTGGTTTTAGCGTAAAGTTTTAATCGTTTTTCTTCAATTCCGTAAAATACTCCATAAGTCCAATTGACAGGTAATACATAAATAGGTTGATCCCATGTTAGATAAAATGCTGAAGCAAATACAGACTTTTCTTTTATGTCAACGTGTGGTAACATTACACCTGTTGTAATGACAGTTATTATGTTATCTTCAATACCATTTGACACAACTGATCCATTAATCACTGGTAATACTTTAAACTGATAGTTTACTCCGGGAGATAATCCGTCAACAGTTACATGAGTTTCATCTGTAGTTGTATTGCCAATAAAACCAACAAAATAATCATCGCATCGGTACTCAATCATCCATTTTATTGATTCTTTAGATTCTCTATGCGATGAATTCCATTCAATAGTAATGCTTGAATTAGTAACACTTTTAGAATGCAAGTTCTTAATGGTTATAATGGATCCGTTAATGATTAATGATGTCTTATTCGAGTATTCACTTTCAAGATTTACTGTTAGAGTTGTCATCCAAAATGTATATTTAACTCCCGTTTCAAAAGGTCTGTCAATTAATAGGCTATTTTCTGATGAGACACCAGTTGTCTCTTTAATAGATGGATAAGGGGGTGAATAGTATATCCGATAGCCTTTAATTGTTCCATAAGTTAAAAGAGGAGACAACCATTTAATCAAAACTCGATTTTCAGATAATTCAATGGCTTTTACAAGAAGTGGAGGACTGGGAGCTAACAAACATTATATAATTATAGTAATTAGTTAACAATAAGATCATTATTTTTAATGTATAATACCTATAGATTCAGTTGTAACTGTTATATATTGCAACGGGAGATAAAAATGAGATTCATTTGTGAATTTACAAAAGACGGTCACATTGTAGACGACTCCTGGCTTTAGTTTATCAAATCTGAAGCTCTCGTTCTGAGTCCAACTCATATTATGCCATTCACTGGTATTGACTTTGGCTATTGTTGGCATAAAATTAAAAATACCAAAACTCGATGGTGTCTTCCACTGTATTGTAAACTCTGTGGCAGTAATTGATTTCAGGTCAACCTGCAAGTCATTAACCGCATAGAAAGTTTGGGTACAGTTGTCTTCATCGGAAGAATCAAAACAATCAGGTCTATGATTACAACGTTTATATAGTTCAACACATTCACCACTTTTACAGGTAAAGCCAATACACTTATGAGGTTTTATATAATCAGTTTTTTCATTACGACAGCCCCACTCATCGGAACCGTCGCCACAATTATCTTTGCCATTACAGACATCTGATAATGGAATACAACCTAAACTATGGACACATTTGAACTCATGTTCCGAACAGTTTTTAGGCCCAAAATTACAATTTTCTTCGTCTTCACCCGACTCGCAATCTTTCTGTGAGTCGCATAACCACGAATCCCAAATGCATTGGCCATTCAAACACTGGTATCTATCGGGTCCACAATTATCTTTTATATTGGTCTCTGGTATCTGTTGTCCAGCAGTTGGCAAAGGATTTTTATGATCACAACCAGTTTCGTCTGAATTGTCACCGCAATCATCTACACGATCACAACGCCATATCAACGGCACACATATACCTGTCGCACATCTGAACCAATCGCCAGCACATGAATCCAATGGATTTGCTGTCGATGTTGTTGTTGTTTGATTTGAAGTGGGTATCACTTTATCAGTTCCATTGCATCCAATTTCATCGGTCTGATCCTTACTAAAGTTTTTTTTATAACAATTATAATGAGAATCATCGATATACTACTGGTATATACATTGATATTACGGTACTAACCAATCATACTCTCCGTCACATTTCCAGGTATTAAATATGCATTTGCTGTGATCGCACAAGAATTGCCATGAATTGCATGAAGACTTGGAGCAATTGGTTTCGTCACTCTTATCTCTGCAGTCATTATCACCTTTTAAATTATGAAAATACAATTATCACCTGTAATTAAATGGGTTTAAAGACATTTTTACAGACCATCACATCTCCAAAGCGATAGAATACAATCGCCATTCTTGCAGCGGAACTCATCGTCTTTGCATTTTTCGTTAGCATTCTTTGTCATACAATTTTCTTCATCACTTCCATCTCTACAGTTATCTTCCAAATCGCAAATCAATTTCTTTTCAATACATCTGAGATTTTTACACTGAAATTGAGTGCTTTCATTGCATTTCGGATACACTGACGCACACATAGATAAGTCTATTGGAATCAAAATTAATAATCTTTAAATATAATGTACTAATTATTTAATAAATTTAAAGTTAATTAATACCTTCATCTGATCCGTCCATACAATCGGAATCAAAATCACACTTCCAATGACTAGGAATGCATTTATTGGATCGTTTGCATTGAAACTCGTTTTCGTTACATTGATGGTCAGCACAATCCCTCTCATCTGATCCATCGCCACAATCTAAAAAAGCAATTAAAGTATTATTGATAAAAAAGTTATTAAATTATAAGATTATTAAACAAACCATTATCTCTGTCACATTTCCATAACTTTTGTATACATAAGCCATTATCACACATAAACTCTTCATTACTACAAGACTGGTTATCCTTCTTTGGCTTACAGGCGCCAGTTTTTGTCAATTCCTCACCACCTCTACAAACACACATTTCATTACCATCGGGTGCTTTAGTAACATCTAATCCATCGGGACAAAGACATTTATGGCCGCCATATAGTTTAGGAACGCAAAGATGAGAACAATTGGATGTCTTATTATCGCTACAGCTGTTCATTATATCTTTAAGATATGGAGTTATTATCTTAAGATCCATAGCACCGACAATATCACTCAATATGACCCGTCTATCTGATCCATCATTCTTGTTAATCATAATAATCTGCTGAAGATTCCAGTCATCAAAGTAGATGTGATTCTTAAACACTCCCAAAGCAAATGGATGAGGGTTTGTGTCGCCTTCCGATATGTAGCTCAAGTGATGGCCATCGAAATCAGCCGAAGCAATATAATCGCGTTTTGCGTCCACCCAAAAGATACGTTGGGACAGATAGTCAACAGCAATACCGTTAGGCCACGAAACAATCGAGTCGTTAAATAATACCTTAACATTATCGCCATCGAGTTCACTACGTATGATACTCGGCTTATTAGTGCCCCAATCGGTTAAAAATATGTAACCAATAATCACATTCAATGCTATTCCTCGAGGTTTTTCAATATGTGGTTTCTTGAGTATAGTTCGTCTCATTCGTCCCTCGTGTGTAATATCTGTACGAATTAGTTCAACCTTTGATTGTTCTCCATCAACAAAATATAATTGATTATTGATTGTATTTAATGCAATGCCTTCCACTGACTCCAGTCCTGTTTCAACCAACACTTCGGGTTGAGATTGACGGCCATCTAAACATAATCGCATAATCTTATCAATGCCTATGTCTGACCAATAAAGACAATTGTGTTTGTGATCAAAGTCTGATGCGATGGCATTAATCAGATATGAATGGGGAACGAGACTCTCTTTTATAGGATTCTCTTCATTCAACATAAGACGAGAAATGGCCTGTCTTTGGACAAACAGAACAAACTGGTCGTCATGTTTAGACCCAAATGGACACGGAATCTCTTGCGGTGAATACCAGTCCTCTTCACCACCAATACAGGTGTCTCCACTTATCTTACGATAGCCTCGGGTTCTGTTAAACATAAGTCCCACTTTACACCAATCGGGAACTGAAAATGGATCGTAACCTTCAATACTGGATCTATCGTCGAAAACACATTTGGCTCCATTCTTATCGCGAATAAAGCCGACATCACATTCAAAGTCTGTGTGACGACACGGACAGTTGATTGAGGCCACCGGACGTACATAATTTTGTCCGTTAAAACACCGATGATTAGCAATGCGTCGGTGAAAAACTTCTCGTCGCCCCAAAAGACAACCTGAATCCATGTCATGCGGTGACCACTCTTTATAATCGTCGGGTAAAGAACAGTGCGATTTAAAGACTTTCGTCAAATTCACTTGAATTACAGTCCATTCATGAGTTGAATCGGCTTTAGATCCAAACAATGTAAATACAGTAGTTTTCTCTCCCGGTTCTGTCATTAAGCCATAAATCCTAATCTTTTGTTCGCTAAACTTAAATGTAGTCCAATTCTCTCCGTCATCTATAGAGTACTTTAATTCATTTGTCGATCCATTTCTCGAGTAATAACTGATGGCCACAATTATTGCACCGAAATCACCGAAAGTGAATATATAATTACCATTAAGAACCTGATGCCAAGTGATACCGGCATCGATACTCAGATAAACATTGGGTTTTCCTTTAATAGAAGTGCCGACAACACCGGACGCCATAATAAGTCCAACTGATGAAGAACGGGAGACAATAGGTGGTAATCTTAACGATGGATAGAGATATGAAAACTTTTGTGACAAATGAAGCGAACAGTTGACTGTAGAGCTGCACTCAATGGGAACTCCATCGGCATCAATAAAAGGCGGTCGTATTCGTTGCCATTTGGCTCCCATATCAAAGGTTATGACAGTTATGAGATCCGCAATAGATTTCTTCGGTTCCTTCCATTTGGAGGCAATATATACACCACGAATACCGCCAACTTTATGTATGTCAGCTAAGGGTTCCTCTGTGTTCCAGTCTATTGAAAGTGGATGTCTGGTGACATTTAGCGCGAAATACAAGATATTGTCCAATGATAAAGAAAATTGTAGTCCATTTTCGTCGGAAGCATATAAATGAGTCGTTGAATCATTGAATGTAAGACAAGTCATCACAACCTCTTCGGATGCATCGGCGATATAATAGTCAATAATTGATGACTGATTGCTTGTCGGGAACAAAGCTCGTCGAAAATCATGTCTTTTATAAGATACCCACAATTGGTACGAGTCGTGAATCTTTGGATTATGAATAGCGCCCAACAGTTTTAATCTTCGGGTGGCAAACATATATTTGCCCGATATTTCAAACTCGTCGACATTATTCAACCAAATCTTTGTGTTCATTTCATTAGCAAAAAAGTCAGAAGAACTGAGAATTGATGTCAAGCCATTCGGTTCATGTCTTTGGACAAAAATAGTCTTACCATTGGCTTCAGTATCAATGCCCTCAACACCCCATGAAAATTGTTTGACTCGTTCTTGAATTGGTCTCCAATTGGCCCCAAAATCTTCTGATAGATAAAGTTTTAGATGAGTGTCGGTGTCATTGATTTTAGCTGTCATTAAGACTAAGTCGACGTTTGTTGAGTGAAGTGATATTGACATCTGAATGAATGGCAAATCAACTCTTTTCAAGTTCTTGCCGTAGTCTTTGGTAATAAACAAACAATTATTGATAATATCAACAAAAATATAGTGAGAGTTAATGGCTGGCGATATATAAAAATTATTGATTACAGCCTCGGATTCATTCTTCAGCTTAAATTGAGACACTTTACTAAAGTCTTTGCCATAATTTTCGGATATATAAACAGCGGATGAGACGTTTGGATTGGTTGGCCTATTCTTAGCCAAACATATGATAACTGATGAGCCCTTTCCAGACCAGTGAACAGTTAACTGTTGATGACTATCGTTTAGTGTCGAAGATGTGACAAATTGAGACAAATCGTCATCGACTATGGGTTTCGGTGAAGTTCCCGAAACAGAATTATTTGTTGACCTTTTCTCACGAAACATTGGCCAGTCTTTGTCAGCCGATATCTCAATTGATGACAAATCTGTGGCAAACGTGTCATCATTTTGCCGACCGATTAGTGCTTTATTTAATACAAGAAATGAGTCGCCAATCGATACGATCGCCAATAGGTATGCGATTAGTGATAAAATGATAGACCATTTGACAGACATTTTTGTTGTTAATTGTTATTATAATTAAAAAGTGTATAAACTTTGACACTATATTATAGCCAATTCAATGGTCATTAACTATAATATATTGATATATTGTTGACATTGTTTTATTAAATCACATCATATGTTGATTGTTATCAAATTACTACAGTATTAACACAAATATTATTATTGTATTATTATTATGAAATATATCTTATATTTAGTATTCAATGTAAACACAGTGTTGTGTAAACATTGTGTTTATAAACATTATTACAATAATAAGTTTACATTGATTTCAATATCAACAACAAATACTTCAACAAATAACTTACTTTTCTTTTAATAATAGGTTTTTTTTAAATTATTATTATTATTATTTACTAGTAAATTATAATATTAATGTATTTTTATTAATCAGTAACTATTGTACAGTAATATAAAATTAAATTAGTTTTATTTTATTTTTTAATTATTATAAGAATAAAACATTAAATTAATTCAAATATTAAGTTAGAATTTATTATTATTATAATTAATCATATTTGGTGTACAAAAATTTGTCAAATTTATCATTTGTATTGATTTATTCAATTAAGATTTAGACATTTAATGCTAATTTAATAATAAAATGAAATTAACGACTACTTATGTAATACAGAACCGTTTTAGTGGCCAAATAAGTCAAATACATGGCTAACATGAGTGACGAAAATGATAAGAAACTGTAATTGAAAATATAGACCAAAAACAAGACAAACATTGTGTAAATTAGATACACTTTGTTAGCCATAAATCGCAAGTTTATTCTTGCATTCAATACTTCTGTTACTCTATCGGGTGGTCTGTAAGCGGTTCCCGATTTGACAATCTTTATGTAAGTTGTCGGACCAGTAATTACTTGTCGACAGAATATTCCCATAAATCCCGACATATTATACAACTTTTGTATGGTTCGCCCAAACTTTAAGTTAATCCAATCAGTAATAAATAATAAAATATAAACCAAATAATAGAGTTCATAGCTTCGGACGGGTTGTCGATCAGGATTTCCTTCAATAACATTCAGTTCTGGTTTACACTGTTTGTTCAATACTTGATTTCTACCAAATGATGTCAACTTTGGTGTTCCGTTAGACTCTTCATACAATGCTTGTGTCCTGTGATGTAAACGAGTCTCTTCTGCATTGTTTCCATTGACTTGAGTTAAGAAAGCAGATTCATTTGCAGGCATTTCAAACAATGACTCCAATTGTGTTGAAGACATTTGTAAGTGATTTCTAGTTTTTCTCTTCTCATTCATAAGTCTTGTATTTTCCTCTGAATTTGCATTTTCTGACATTTGAAAGAATGACGTCATGTACTGAAAGAATGTCTGATTCACCGGATTATTAAGTGTATCATTCATTTCTGTATTTCCTATCACTTCAGACAACAAATTCAATGCCTTTTTGATTTCATTTATTAATTGCAAAATTAATGGCTTTATTGCCGGACAGAATAATGGAGTGAATTCATTGGGATTCAACTCTAACTCTAGTAAGTGATGTCTCAATGGACCGCCTAAAGAGCTCATATTCTGCTGACGCAAAGTTGGCGATAATAATGTAGCTCTTGAGCTCTGAGACCAACTCGTATGTAACAAATTTGTGGTCAACGACTCGTTAGTCATCAATGAATTTTCCGCTTCTCTAATCCAAAGCGCGAAGTTTTGTTGCGAAAATACTTTGGTTAATCTGAAGAGCATTAATGCATTTTTTGATGAACTCAAATCCAAAACTCTTGAAAATCGAGGAATTAATTGTCGAAAAATAATTGAGTAAAACATTAAATTATCGGAAATGAATTCTTTCCATTGTTGGTCACTAAGTGTCACATCTCTAGTATTTCCATCCTTTTCGTCATTATCTGATTGATCAGCTTTTGAAACATTTGTGTAACGCCACGGCTGTATATAACTGATCCATGTTTCTAATGGCAATCTAAATGACGTGTCATTTGGCCACCGATCGAATGAAAGCCGAAAAAACGTATACAAACGGCGCTGAAACACATACTTTTGTGACCATAGAGTTCGCTTCAATTCATTAATCGGTGAATCCATTACATCATTATTTCTTTTCGGACAACTATTTGCAAAGTAATGCAAATGTTTTATCATTATTCTAACGGCTCTCATGTGATCCGAATTCGGTGTAAACATCTGTTGTTTTAAAGGACTTCCCTGTCTTTTGGCGACATTGTGTTGTATGGCGTGATTGAGCCACATATCTGTAATAATCAACAAAAATGTTTCACATCTCACTATTTCAGATCCCAGAGAATCATGTGCTGAACGGTTAGACCATTGATCACTTGAATATGGCTCATGTCCTCCGGTTAACAATGGCTTCAAATTAAGAATTGATGACTTTATAAGTGTCGGTGTTTTCGGAGTACTTGTCATTGGTTTGGGTGACAATGCATTGATTGTAGGACTTGACAAATGAAGAAAATTTGATGTCGTCGATGACAATGATTGCCAGATACTTGACTGAGAGGTAGGATTCTGTGTAACGGATGGCGGAACTGATGACAGCGGAACTAAATAATTTAGATAACTCTCTAATAATGCAAAATATATGATATTTGATGGGATTGTATTGGCGTTTGACATGAGTTCTAAATAATATTGATTTTGATGACTATAATGATTTGGACTGTTATTCAAAACCAGATATGAAAAGTGAAATATAAAGAACTCGAAGGCATTCACAGATATATTGGTTGATAAGGCGTTTGATATTTTGTTGGCATAAAGTGTGGGAACTATTGACTCTTCAAGTGATAGTTTGGTCGGAATCTATAAACACATCATTAAATATTTGACATTTTATTAACACATTTCTTATTATAACTCAACTCACCGGCAAATACTTCTTCGAGAAATCATATCTATTCATCGGATCATTCATTAGTTGTCGGATCAGTTGAAATAGTGGTCCATTTATATCGAGAAATGCATAAATGGCATCAAACTCGCGAGTATTATAATTGCGAGAAATCACTTTCAATGACCAATCGCTTGACATCGAGTGGTTACCGACGCCGAAGATGTCTTCAACTAAAGTCGAGTAATTCATTTGAATGTCCTATAAATCAAACAAAACATCAAATCAATTGTCATTTAACGGCGCATATAATCGACACTAACCTTTAGGTTTGTTGTCATCGATTCGTGAATCAATTGTGTCAACGAATGACACTTATGGACAATCGGATCCTTAAGACATCCATCAAATCGGATCTGAAACTGATTGACAAACAATTAATTCATTAATTTATGATAATTGACACCAAAATGATTGTCAAAACACTTAAAACTTGTTTTCATTCAATACTTACTGGCATTTGATTCATGTATTGAGTATTCATTGCATTTGAATATTGCATCGTTTGTTGTGATTGTTATTAATGGCAATCAATTCAAATAGTAATCAAATAAAACTCAAATTTATTAATTGATTGATTAAATTGAGTAAACATTAGAATAAAGTATTGAATATCATATGTTGTTTAAGTTATACAATGTTTGTAATGTATTATAACATTAATATTAAACCGTTTGTCAAAACGTTAGCATTAATTCAAACAGTTTAGTCTATAATTCATATTTCATATATACATGTGTTTGAAAAAAAATACATTTATGTTTCAAATAAAATACGTCATTCAAATTCAAAAACAATTTGTATGCAAAAATATGAACAAAAATTTATCATTAGTTTTACATTTATTCAATAATCAATTAATAATAAAAAATTTTAAACATATTTTTAAAAATTAAATTCTTGGAAGAAATGTTTGTTTATATATTTTTACTATAAAAACAATAGTAAAAAATTAATTAATTACTAATAAATAAATAAATGGCTGAATGTGTAGAAATAAATTTGTTTAAATATGTTTAGAAATATATATATATTATAATTATATAATTATTATATAAAGAGACATTATATTTGATATAATTTATCTCTAATAATGTAATTTATGATATTTGTTATATTATATATTATTTTTAATAAATATAATATTATATGACATTATAACCGGTGAACCATATATTTCACATCCGATGCAATGCTTAAGCAATCAATTGTATCGATAATTAAAACAAGTCCTAAACCAGGAGTTAAACATATTCTACGGTATAATATCAATGCTATACTTAAACTTATGGTTCAAAAAATATTCATTTTCACATATATATATATATATATATATATATTATATATACAGTTGTGTAAATGCATTGATAATCAATTGTCACTAATAATACCGTTAATACAGCATTTTTTAAATATTATTTTATCAGATCCATGATTTTTTATAGTTATGAAAAAAGGAACCGGGATTTTAAAAAAATGTTTATACAGTATAACGTGAATCATAGACAACTGTGCGGTCATTTGGCACACATTGTACAGTCTATACACTGGTCTTATCGATAAAACATATCTAAGGAATGTTACATTAGTTTTTTGATATAATATTATATATATATATATATATACCTGTATTATACATTTTATATATAATAACATATTAATTTACATAATTTCTCTATTTTGATCAAACAAATATATGTTTGATTTTTTAAAAATAATTATTTATCAAATAGAAAAAATTCAATGTTTAACCAAACAAATGGATTATTAATTTGTTTTATATGATAAACACAACAATTATTGAATGAGATATTGAGTGTTGTGTAGTCTCTAATGAACACATCGATAGCATATAATGTATAATAAATGTCAAATCAATTGTTTGAGAGATTAGATTTCTAAAAAAATAATTAGTTTGCTGTGTATTATTTTTAAAAATAAACCATTAGTATTACAATATGTTTAAAATTATTAATGATCAAATACAATGATATCTCATGGGCTATAAAAATGTGTATAAATAATGGTTAAATTTTATTTTTAGTTTAAATTATTTGACTAAATTTTACTATAGATAACAAAAATCAAATGCTCAATATTTCCATTTAGTATAATCAATAAAATCATTACTTAAAAGACTATCGTTTAGTTTAAGGAAACAGATAATAGACATAAATAGATGGATTAAAAAATTATATATATATTTGATATTTAAATAACTAATGATTGAGAAATGTTAATCGTTTATTAACAATGAAAGAACCGATAGATAAGTTGGTATGTGTTTAACCTCACTGTTCCTGATGTCAATGAAACCTGAGAGGAGAGGAAAGATGCAATGGTTTAGAATACATATATAAACACATGTAAATACATACCGTTTCTATGATTTTATAGTATATTCAATTAGAGAGTTCATTATACATTAGATTGAATACATAGGCTCAACATATCAAACATTATAAGTACATAAATCATAGGCAATGTATAGCATGTACTACTGTTTGTCGCAGTTTTTTGAAAATATATAAGTTATAAAAGTAAAAGTAAGTGAATCCATAGTTTTTCTTTTATTATTATTGTTTCTCACAAAAAGAGATATCTGTTTTAAAAATCTGCAGAAAATACGATTATTGATGGTTACCATATATTGGGCGGATCGCCACATCTCATACATCCATGAGCTGATGCTTCTTTGATTTGGAGTCATCTCTCAAAGGAGTCATCTATCAGTGCCTTTGACACCAACAGCCTTTTGTTGCACAAGTGGTGGCCTAAAAAAAGTTGTTATAATTACCATTTAGTTAAACCACTTTTAGTGGCTAACCCTTGCTGGAAGTCATTCTCTATTGTTATGTAAAATGTGAGATAAAGATATTTTTACCGTCACTTTTAATATATAGTAGAAAAACAAAATTCATTTTTATTTATATTGAAAGTAAAAGTCCGATGAACTCAGTATAACTAAAATAATATATAAATAAAAATATTATTTTTGTATATTATAATACTTAATTATATATATATAATTTTTTCTTATTACAATTAAAAAATCATTTTTAAAAATAGATTTTTCAATGATTTTAACAATCTTTATTAATATCTAAATAACATTTTTTAGTTAATAGTAAAATAAAAGTTTTATATTTGTGGAAATAGTATATCAATAATAATCATCATAAAAAACTTGAATATAAATTTTATACATATTTAAAAGGTATAACAACAACAACAATAAAATAAACATAATAAATAGTACACAGAAATGTTATACGAGATTTAAAGATTTAAATGTTTAAAATATATTTATTTAAAAATTATTATATCATAATTTTTACTTAATTATTTTAAACACACAGACATAGAACACAATATGAAAAATGTATATTAAATAATACATTAATTGAATAATAGTGTAAAAATAAACTCTTTTTCATTATCATTAATCAACATTTACCACCATTTCAGTCGCTGTTATTTAATATTTTCTGTTTTCTGATGACCACAATGTTACCGATGACCCGACTGTCCCATTGGAGACAATTTTATATAGGATTTTCTATTGCATATAATTTGTTGTCCTAACCGATTGAAGTTAATCAAAGAGATCAAACATTTGTTGCAAAAAGTGTCTGTTATACTGATAATAATATATATGTGAATACCTATTATGATAGAAAATAACATTATCTTATTTCATTATCTAAATTTAATATCTAAATGACATAATAATTAGTAAAATTAATTTTAAATGTTTTAAATGACAATTTTGTTAATTTATTAATTGTTGTGAGACTTTGCTGTACTCTTTCCCTTCAAAATATAAAAATAATACTTTAATATTAAAAGACAACTAATATGTACAGTAGAGTTATGGCAGCAAAATAAATGTCCACTAAATGCTTCAATAAAATGTTTGCAACCAATAGTAAGGATATCACTGAATATGGTATAAAATATTAAGGAAATACCATTTGATTGCACACATAATTGTCCGATAAATGACTTTATTGCTAAACATAATCACTGGTTACCCGGTCTTTACACACGAAAAATGTTATCATTTTTCACATTATGTACACACATTAATACAGTACTGTTTCACTAAATTAGCATTTAATTAAAAAGTAAAATTTAAAAAAAAACATTTTATGCCACTTGAGATTTTAGTTGACATCTAAATTATACATTTTTTCAAATTTATGTTTGTTTTTAAAAATATTTTAAATTATAAATATTATATTGATATATGTTATGATGAAATAGTTTGGTTAAAAAAGAAAGTTTTTTGAAAATATGTATTTATAATAATATTTAAATTTATGTTATAAAATGTCATATTTTCATTTCAAGAAACCAATAACTAGTAATTTGTAATAAATTTATTGCAAATAAAGTTTTCATTCATTCATTAAATATAAATATTACTATAATTTTTAAGATAAGTTTATGACCTTTCAATAAGTCGTTATAGAAAAAGTATTTGTGTCTTATAATTAAATAAACTAATTTATACGTTTTGTAAACAGAAATTACCTATTATTTTGAATAAAATATTGCTACTATCCATAATAATACACAAAATTCATTGTAATTTGTTATTTTTTAATATTATTACCAAATATTCAATATTATAAGTATAATATAATTAACAAAATTTGAAAGAAAAACTAATATTTTTATAAACATAAGTTACTTAAAACAATATTTAATTATATATATATATATATATTAAACAGTCAGAAAAAAAGTTTTAAACATTTTTAAAGTGGTGTTTCACAAAAAAATAATAAAACAAATTGTATAAAAGAAATGCATAAAAATAAATTGCATAATGAAATGGTAACACTTATTCAATGTAAATATGCAAATCAGTATTAATTGATAGACAGACGAACCCTAAAAAATGTAATAATCATTTAAATAGTAAATAATTTAATGTTTAATTTGATTTTATCAGAGTGAGTGAGTGAGTGAGAGAGAGAGAGAGAGAGAGAGAGAGAGAGAGAGAGAGAGAGAGAGAGAGAGAGAGAGAGAGAGCACTGAGAGAGAGAGAGAGAGAGAGAGAGAGAGTGGGATAGCCTAATGTCAATTGGAGTTTAGATTCCCATTAAATATATTCAAATGTTATGCCTATTAGATAATGAATGCAAACAAATTCAACGATTAATTCATATTTGAATTTATAGAACTTAATGCCCAATAATTTAAATATATTATTTAAATATATTATTTAAATATATTAGTTATCCAATGATTTATCACAAAATTTGTGGCACTTTTATATTTGCCTTCATTTTAGTATGTAATATAAGAAAGTTAGTTAAATTAATTATGAACTCTMTATTTTAAGCAACAAATAATACTACAATAATTTGATAATTTATTAAATAATAAACAATTAATCAATAAAATTAAAATTATTAAATTCTATGTTTAGATCATTTGATTTTTACCAATTAATTTTAACATTTTGCAAAACAAGGTGAATAATACTAAACATTTAACAAATACTAATAAAAGTAAAATATAATTAATTTAATAAAATAAAAAAACAAATAAATTTTTTGTTGCTAAACACAAAAAGATGTCTAATTAAAGCTCATATTTAAATATCTTATATGAAAGTAAATTATAA